CTTTTCGGTTAAATATGTATTTTTTTTCACATTCCCTCCCTCCCCCCCGACAAACGACAATTTGGCCCCCACCCATTACCAAACGCCCGAGCCCCGCCCACGGCTGAGCCGACCCAGGCCCAGGACGCTCCCCGCAGCCCTGGCTGCACCCTCAGCTGCCTGCCCCGGGTTTTCTGGAAGCGCCAGCGGGGACACGCGCGGAGCCGCTGGCGCATCCTGCCCCGTCCCGCCCCGCACCGCACAGTAACGGAAAACAAGATGGCGGCGGCGCGAGCCAGGGTGTCTCCTGCTGTTCTTTCAAACGCGCGAGGGGCCGGCCCCGCGCCTACCCAGCATGCCCCGCGCCTTTCTAACGAATTTCGGTTCGAGTTTGCAGTTTGGGCGCCATTTTCGAGTGTGGAAGCCGCCAAGCTGCAGGCAGCCGCCGGGATCTCCAGAGCCGCCGCTGCACGGAGCCGTGCCGCCGTCGCCTGCCACGCCCGCAGGTACCGACCCCGCTCGCTGATGTGGGAGCGGCTTGGTTCGCCCCGCCGCGGGCTCTGGGGTCTCTCGAACCGCCCCGGGGCAGGTGGTGCCGGGGACTCCGCGCGCTGCGAGCGGAGCCGGGAGCCCGCCGGCGGGAGGGAGCGGCTGTGGGGGGCCCTGGCGAGTGCGGAGGGGGCGGTGGGTTTGGCTTCTCCTCCTCCCCCCCGGCCGCCGCCCCGCCCGGGCCTCTCCCGCCGCGCCGCGCGGTTGGGCTACCCCCACCCCGTCCTCTACCCGTGCTAATCCGGGGGGCACAGACGGGCGTAGCGAGCGTGGGCTCCCCATGGTATCCTTATGGACCTGTGGGGACCAGTCTCTGGGAGAGGAGGGCAGAGCAGGGTAGCGGCGTATTTCGGAGCCGCGATGTCACGGTACATCCGCGACCAAACCGCAGCACCCGGGCCGAAGTTGCGCGGGTCGTGGGGGGACGGGCTCCCGCCGAGGTGCCCGTCGACGCTGCCGTCGGTTAAGGTGCCCGGGCTCCCGGGGCGGCTCCCGAGCGGGGGAGGAAGCCTGAGCCCGGCTCTCTGCTTCCCTCGCCGGCGCGGCGGGAGTCGCGCTTCGCAGCGGATCCGCGAACGATGCTTTTAACAAGCGCCTTTTATTTGGCTATTGGAGAGGGTCGAGGGGTTGGACTGAAACGTGTTGAGGGGATCGGGGAGTCTGGTAAGTGGTTCGTGCTTGGCAAGGTGATTTGAGAACGAGATAGGAGCGAGAGTCCAACGTGGAAAACGAGGATAAGTAGTGGTGTTGTTTTTGTTGGAACTCTTTTTTTGGTGACTTAACTCCTTTCTTTTTTTTCTTTTCATTTTTAAGCGCAAGTAGTCTCTCGCGCCCCACTCAAGTAGAAACGAATAAATTGGGGGGAGGGGATCCTCTGGATCCTTCAGAAGCTGTACATATCTGATACAGCTCTTGTGGAACATTTCATAACAGGGGCATGGACTCAAATTGTCTTAAAATGAATTCTCTTTTACTTCCCCTCCCCCATTGTCCCAAATGAAGGGCTCTCATGAGAGTACGGGTTGGGGGTAGGTCTGAAAACGTCAAATGATTGGCACCAATTGTAAGATGACTTTCTAACCACGTCAGTTTTTTTTTATCTTGTGCGAAGTAAACTTTCTCATGTCTGTTTTTCTCCAAGCTAACTTCACCACTTGCTGCGATGGAGCAATTTAGATTCTTTGGGGAGAATATTTCACTTCTTCAGTCGTCTTGCTTCTCAGCTCCTCTCTGATCAGTTGCTTTCTGTTCCTACTTTTTTTGGCAGCAGTTTGAAGTGCCAAGCAATGGTCTTTTTTTTTTTCCCCCCCCGGTTTGGTTTGTGCTTTTGGGGATTCCCCCCCAACCTTTTACATCATTCTTGTGCTTAACTAGCTTTTTTGGCCCTTTCTATTTAAAAAAAAAAAAAAAAAAAGTGACTGTAGGGGGAACTTTTTTACTTCTCGGGGGCAGTGTTTTATCAGTCTAATCTATTTTG